CAATTCAGGGTTAGGTATACAAATGTTTATTATGCAGGTACCTTGTTGAGGTGTGCTCTTGCCCCGCAGTTTCCCACTACTGCCAATCCCACATTCACCTGCCCTGTAGTTTCCTGCCACTGCCAATCCTTTTCTTATAGTCTTTGTCATCTTTTTTAGTGGATTCCTCATTGTACCATTCAAACATCTTATAAATGTAGATTAAAGTTTTAAATGACAGGCTTAACTTTCCTGATTTTTGCTGCATTTTTCATTGCACTGTTTTTCAGAATGTTCTTTGGTTAATGAGAACTTTTTCAACTATTTGGTTAGAGTACTAGGTAGCATAGATATGTGATGTTCTAACTCCTGAATGGTATGAACTGTGGATATTATTTAAAATATTCATAGTGGCAGGCACAGTGGCTCACACCTATAATCCTAGCGCTTTGGGATGCTGAAGTGGGAGAATCACTTGAACCCAGGAATTTTCCAAGCCAGCCTAGGCAGCATAATGAGACCCCCATCTCTACAAAAAGTTAAAAATAAAAAAATTAGCCAGGCCTCGTGGTGCAATCTTGTAATCATTGCTACTCAGGAGACTGAATGAAGCAGGAGGATTGTTTGAGCGCAGGAGTTCAAGGTTACAGTGAGCTATGATCGCATCACTGCATTCCAGGCTGGGTAACAGAGTAAGACCCTATCTAAAAGAATAAATAAAATATTCATAGAGGAGGAACAAAATGGAAAATGCTGTCTTTCCCTGGTAGGTATTAGTGCAAAGCATGGTTTGGATGCTGGATATTCAAGTTCCAAGAGAACTATGATTTAGTTCCATAGAAATAGTGTGTATAAACTATGAACAAGGAAAAACTAATAAGCATACTTTTTCCAGTAGAAAGGCCTGTTCTTTGATATTTCCAGCAGATCCTAATGTGCTCATTATCAAGTGGCTAGGAAGCAGGATTATGGCAAGGGAGAGAGACTTTACTTATCCTTCTATACAATTGTGTCTTGGAGGAGGTTGTGCTACACACAAGAACTTTCACAAATTAAGAAAAATTGTTAAGCATCTCCAAATTGCCCAAACACTATAGTGAAAGAGATCCATACCATCACTCATATACTTACATTGAAAATCTCCCAGGAGTCCAATGGGGTTTTCTTCCTTAAAGGATGCAGTACTGAGACTTGTATTATACACTGAAATATCCATTACTAGTGCTTGGGAGATTAAAAAGGTAGGTAAGTGGAATAAGTAAAATTCCTATCTATTTGGGAACTACAATGTACCAGGACAGGCGTAGACATTTTGTCTAATACCTGAAAAATGTACTATTATCCCAATGATCAGCAAAGTAAAACAAACTTGTGCCAGAAGTTTGGATCTGTTGGACTCTATATCCATCATCTTTCCACTAGGCCCCGATGCCTTTTATTAGAAAAAGTCAAGATCTAGATAATACAATCATAGTGAATGGTCAGATAAATTATAATGACTTGCTGCTTATTTCTTATTTGTCCATGACAGTATTATAGGTTGTTTTGTTTCCATTAAAAATTACAAAAGCATTTGCAGTTAACTAAGAAAGTAAGATTGCCAATGTTACAGTTCAATGTGTCTATCTTCATGTAGGATACTCACTAACCCACCTGAAAACATGGAAGAAACCAGCTCTAAGTTTCCTGTTTTTATCAAATATGCTCCTTGCCCTTTATACTGGTTTAGTTCATCAACGAGGTACTCTTGATGTCATGAGTCATATTCAAAACATCTGTTACAATCCCAATAAATCTTCAGCTTCAGTATTTGTAATGATGCCTTGCCACTCTACTCCTTATTACAGGTAATAAAAGTTGCTCCGCTATATGCTATTAAGAAAATGAAAAGGACTAAATTAAAATTCTCTTTCAGGTTCCTGCATTTGAACTAATTAATAATTGATCAAATCATAAAAAATATTAAGCTTCCACTCATTTACTCACTGATGGATTTCAAAAACCATTTGAACTGTGTCAATGAAAATCTTTTAAGTAAACTTTATTATTTTACAATTCTAGACAACTTACACTTATATCTGATTTAAATTGGTATGAGACATTTTGTAGATATTTGATAGTTTTCTTATTAAAGAGATTCATTTATCACTGATCTTTTTTAGTCAAGACCCTGTTGCCCAGGCTTGGAGTGCAGAAGCATGCTCATTGCCACAGCAGCCTCGACCTGCTGGGCTCCGGTGAACCTTCCATCTCAACTTTCCAAGTAGCTGTAACTATAGGTGCATACCACCATGCCTGGCTAATTTTTTGATTTATTGTAGAGACAAGGTCTCACACCAAGGCTGGTCTGGAACCTCTGGGCTCAGGCAATCCTCTTGCGTCCGCCTCCCAAAGTGCTGGGATTATAGGCATGAGCCACCGCGCCTGGCCATATCACTGGTCTTACTACAAGTCTTTGTGACTAATCTCACTGGATTCTAGTCCAGACTTGACTGTTGCCATGGTCTTGAACTAGTTTTTTAATCTGGTTGGACATCAGTTCTCTCACCTGTAAAAATTCGGTAATGCAACTAGATGATATTCTTCAAATGCTTGGATTAAGTGTTTCTGGGAAGTGTAAAATACTAAAATTGCCTTAACTGTGCAGGGCATTTTAAAAAACACTCATCTGGTCCTATACTTATATTTTAGGAAGCTATACCAATCATCCAGTAACGGTACAGGGGCAAAGCAGCCAACTTTCTTACAGAAAATTCTGTACCTACTTAACTCAAACTCTCTTAAACAATCTGTAGTTAATATCTGTGTGCATATTCAATTAATATCACCATGGATATCATTTTATGGGAATTCAACACTTTTGAGCTCTTCTGCTTAACTGAATCATTAATACCAATCATTAATACACAATTTAGAAAAACTGAAATTACGTAGCAAAAGCCATAGACTAGATGGAAGACCTCAATTATTGTAGAGAACAGGCATTCTAGAGGTACCAAGATGTTCTCTATAAATAGGTGTAGTAGTTGATGTCATAAGCTTTGTATAGTTCACCAAGGTCTCATCTTAACATGTTTTCTAGCTACACAACAAAAGCAAAAAGACTGATGCCTACTCTGGATTATATAGTTGGCAGTTTTTTCTCAGGAACTTCTGCTTTCCCTTTTAAACAAGACCTTTATCTCTAATAAATAAAAGTCATGAAGTATTAGGTCTTACATAAATGTACTGTGTATGCATTTTGTAAATAAACCCCTATTGCATAATTATTTAACTTAATATCTAATTGAAAATTTTTACATTTCTATCAGTAAGGCTTAATTTTTTCTGAGGCAGTTATAAATGTGGCTTTTTGAATGACCTAAGTAACTAGCTTGAACTGTCATGAGTGGCATTAAAGATGAATCCATCTTACACTCATCTTTCCATACCTCAGTAAAACCATTACTTATTTACACGTTAGTCAGTGAACATATGTTGTTATTACTAAGTCTTGTATAAATATATATGGAAAAAAGAAAAATGCTTTATTTAACAATGTGATCCATCCCCTTTCAGGGTAAAAAGGAAAGACAGCAAGAATCCTTTCTCGTTTATGACTATAGTTTGCTGCTTTGCCAAATTATTAACCAGTAAATTTACCTGGTCCCAAGAACCTCTTACATTTCCGGAACAGAATACCAATGCTACAGAATGTTGAGTCCCCCAAGCTGCTAACTAACCTACTTCCCTCCTTGAAATGGAGTTTGGGTCAGGCGCAGTGGCTCAGCCTATAATCCCAGCACTTTGGGAGGCCGAGACAAGAGGAATGCCTGAACCCAGAGGTTCAAGACCAGCCTGGGCAACTTGTTAAGACCTCGTCTCTACAATAAATCAAAAAAATTAGCCGGGTCTAGTGGTATGTGGCTGATGTTCCAGCTGTTTGGAAGGCTGAGGTGGAAGGATCGCCTGAATCCAGGAGGTCAAGGCTATGGTGGCTGTGAGCGTACCGCTGCACCCCAGCCTGGGTGATAGAGTGAGACTCCAACTCAAAAAAAAAAAAAATGGAGTTTGGGCTTGCACATTATGCTGCTGCTGTTGTATAAGTACAATAGTATGAGAATAATGTTTTCCATCTTTGAGAAAATGCATTAAAGGCTTCTTCACCTTAACTACAACACAGAATATGGATTCAGATTTCACATTTTGCTAAATATACATGATTTATTTCAAGAGTAATATGAAAACTTTCACAATGTTTTTAACATCTTGTATTATTGTAACTTTTCTTTTCAAAGCCATGTTCACTGTCCACTGCCAATGAGATTTCTCCAATGTCCACCAGACCTGGCTGGAAACAGTTATTATCTTGATGAAGCAGATATATTTTACCAAAATCCCTTAAACTGGTTACATAGAGAGTTTCATGATGATGTACCACTGCCTACTCACTTGATCATCTTCAGTGTTTTGGAGGAGGTAAGTAAACATGAAAACTCTGTACTTTTGTTTTACTTCAGGTTTAGCAAACACTCAGATAAACAAAACTTTTTGTTGTTGTTTTTGAGTCAGTCTCACTGTCACTCAGGCTGGAGTGCAGTGGCACATTCACAGCCATCGCAGCCTCGACCTGTTGGGCTCAGGCAATCCTTCCGCCTCAGCCTTCCAAGTAGCCAGAACTATAGGAGCGCGCTACCACACCCAGATAATTTTTTGCTTTATTTTAGAATCAAGGTCTCGCCAAGTTGCCTGGGCTGGTCTTGAACCCACGAGCTCAGGCAATTTTCTTGCCTCGGCCTCCCAAAGTGCTGGAATTACAGGTTGAGCCACTGAGCCAGGCCAATAAATATAACATTTTTATGGTCCTTTTCAACTCCCACATTTCATAATTGGCCTTTTCTCCAGTCAAAATCAGCCCCAATTCTATAACTATCAAGGTATGCTACTTACCAAACATTCTTTTATTAGGAAATTTTTTTTGTTTTATAAGAAAAAAGATGTAGAGGAGCAATTAGAATAGGAAATTCTAAAATTCATTGGAACAGCAAAATGTCACCTTTATTTACTTAAATGTTTATTTACTTTTAGGAAATAAGTGCTTTCCTAATTTCAAACAATTATGAGAGAACTGCAGTTTTCTTCCACACTCACTTGCCGGCGGGTCGAATTGGAAGTCACGTATATATTTATGAACGGAAGTTAAAAGGGAAACTCAACAGAAGATAAAATTCTGAACTGTGTCTACAACTTTCCCAGGTAAACTGGCATTGCTAGGTGGAAATATTCAGATGCTACTTAAATACTTTAGTAAACACCGGGTAAAATTCATGGAACTTGGGGAAAAACTGCGAACTGCTTTACCAAATACCACTATTGAGGAAATGTATAAATATCACATACTTAAAATCACATATTAATACAATGCTAGATTTTAAATAAAGACCTTTAGTTTCCTCATGGTGTAGTTTTATTGTTTCTTCCACAATACTCAGATGTGCAAGAAATTTCACAAGAGAACAAGTCAGCAAGCTCATAAGAGGGCAGCAAATTCTTCACAAGTCAACGGGCTCTTGAACCCACAAAAAAGACAAGAAGCAGGTATAAGATTATAAAATGAAATTCCATCACAGTGTACTTTTCTCAAACTCTACTGCAAATTTAACAAACAGCAGTGTTAATTTACACTTTGTCAATGTATGATTTGAGTTTAAGCTCATATACTGAAAGGAAGTCTCATTTCATGCACAAAACCTGTTGCATGCCTAGCTTCCTTAATAAAACTACCAGTGAACATTTCCAGTGCTAAAAAAAATTCAACAAAGCTAAACTACAGGAAAATGCAGGTTAGTAGGCTTTAGATTGATGCTTCTGAGTAATAATAGTCATCAAACTGATACTTAGAAATAAAAGGACATTATCATCTTGATAATTTCATCTTAGTTTCAACACCAAACATTAACAAAAGCATCCATTTTCTCTTACAATTTTCTAATGTAACTTAATCGTGAATCAGTATTTGGGATCCAAAGGCAATTGCCCCAATTCTATTTCAAAATTTGCCATGTGTCTTCCATTAGTGCGACCATATTTATGCCATTTACCTTCCCTTTTATAAGGCTGTGGCTGAAGGTGCTTCTGTTCTTGTTTTCGCTGCCTGGAGTTTTCAATATTTACCATACGTTGCTTTTTATCAGGTCGACTGAAAGCAGTAAACACATTTTTCATCTATGTTAGAGTTCAATTTGTTTAAATTTAAAACAATGTTAATGTTTTTCTCCATTAATCTATTATCTGAACATACTGAAAGAAGATGTTAATTACAATCCTAATGTATCCATATAAAAAATAAAGGACTCAGTATTATACCTGTTTTAGCCTATAGAAACAAAAAATAGACAAATTTAATTCCACAGGCAAAAAAGGGGAAACACTCAACAGATAAAAAAGAAATGTGACAATAAAATAATGAGATGTGTTTCCATTATTTTTCCTCCTTTCCTGTAAAAATCAATCTCCGTTGGCTTGATCCCTTCACAGAAATATCTACGTCTTAACTTTTTCTCCCTTACAACAAAAGTTCACAAACATCTACAGTGCTTTCTTCAGTCTCTTATGATCAGGCTTCTGTCACAACTTCACTGAAAGTTCATACTGCCATTCATGGTCACTGAATTCCCAAGAAATATTTTTCAAATCTCAACTTTTTAAAAACATTTCACACATTTAAATATTCCTTTATATTTGAGATGATCTTTGGATTTTCATTATGCTACTCCCTGGTCCTGTCCTTCTCAGCCTTCTCTCTACAACCCCCTAGATGATTATGCTCTCCCAGGAGTCTGATAAATACACACACCTAAGAGTCTGGGCAAAAGAGATGGCCATATAACTAATTGCCAACTAGCCCTTTTCACTCAAATGTCAATGGGTACCTCCAAACAATTTGCATCTCCAACTCCCCTTGCCCAAACCTGGTATTCCCTAAATAGGTGACCCAACCCAGAAATCTATGTCACTGTTACTTTCAACTTCCCTTTCACACGAAATACTGTCATCTTGTTCAAATCTGTCTCCTCCCACTCCTACTACTGTCGCAGTTCGAATATTCATCAGTTCATGCCTGTATCATATTGGCCACCTTCTAGCTTCACATCTTTCCCATCAATCCTTCAAGCTGCTACCCATACAGTAGTCCCACCTTACCCGCAGCTTCACTTTCTGCGGTGCAGGTTTCAGTTACCCATGATTAACCACAGTGTGAAAATATTAAGTAGAAAATTTCAGAAATACTTGGTAAGTGTTAAATTATACACCTATTCTGAGTAATGTGATAAAATCTCATGCTGTTCTGCCCCATCTGACGTTAGACGTGAATTACCCTTGTGTGGTGTACCCACAATGTACATGCTAGCCGTCTGTTAGTTTAGCAGTCTCAGTTATCAGATCCACTATCACAGCACCACAGTGCTTGTTGTATTCAAGTATCTATTATTTTATTTAATAATGATCCCAAAATGCTATAGTGATGCTGGCAATTAGGACAGGCCAAAGAAAAACTTTTGCAAAGTGCTTCTTTTAAGTGAAAAAGTGCAAGTTCTCCAAAAAAAATGATATGCTGAGGTTGCTACTGTAAGAACAAATCTATCTGTGAAATTGAGAAGGAAAAAAGAAATTCATGCCTAGGGTTCTATACCATCCCTGGTTTCAAGCAACCACTGGGGGTTTTGAAACAAATCCCCAAAGATAAGGGAGGACTACTGTAATCTAAAATACAACATAGTCTTCCCCCACACCCCTTCAAAAATCCTTGAGCACAAAATGAGGTCCTTCATGACCTTACTCTTTTCTTTTATTCATCCCCCAGCACTACCCTGCTTCTTTTAAGTAGGATATCTTCACATCTCCAAGTCTTTGCAATTACCCTTTGAGTGAAATGACTTCCTGTAGCTGCACAGCAAATTCTTACTTCTCTCTCAAAAGCTAGTTTAAAAGCCAGGTTTAGTTCAAAGGCCACCTTACTCATAAGCCTTCCAAACATCACCAGACAGCCTGAGGCCACAATATACATACCTCCATACCTTCATTTATCTTATTTAGCTAGCTTGTGAGCTCTTTTACATAAGCAAAAAATTCATTTGTTTCCTCAAGGCAGCCTCACAATGCTCTGTTCATTATAGCACTAGATATCTGTGTAATGACTAAAGACACCAGAATCAGTCTCATTATTTTACAGACACATTACATTTATTCAGAAAGATATGTATCTCAAAACTAAAAAGTGAAGCTAACATTTGAAGATTAGGCAAATTTCATGTTACAGAATATAAAGATGATAAACAATGGATAGAAAGTTGTTATGAGTACACAAATTATAATTTCTGGCTTGCTTAGTCTGCCTGTTTGATCACATCTCTACTTGTATCAACAATTGTGTAATAAGTATTAAATATAATAACTAAGCTGGTATATGGAATAGGCAAGAGGCTAGAAATTAGAATTGTCATATATGAGCTCTTCTGATTTCAGAGTAAAATTTGTTATGTTCACTCCTAGCTTAAAGTGAGTAAATAAAGGAGTAAAGGAAAATAATTTTACTTAAGGTGATTCTCTATTCATATAAACTATAATAAAAAGAAACAAACTTGGCCAGAATAAGATTTATATACCCTTAACTAATTTTTAGGGTAGAAATGAATAATTTGTTCAAAGTGATTATTATATGAAAATTTTCAATTTGTAATAGCTGTAATTTTAAAACTATATCTAATTATTCTAAATTCTCTGTGGCAATAAAGCATGTATCTTAGAAATAGCAATTCCAGAGACTCATCAAATGATAAAAATGCTATCCAATCTACAATTACAAACTACTATAATAACATGGTTTTATGTAAACCGACCTGGGTCCATATGGAAGGGGAAATGTGTGACCAAAGAAGTGTCTATATATAAATCCATCCAACTTCTCAAACACTCCATCATTATCTACTTGATATTCCTTCATGTCCTTAAGATAATCTTTAACACCAATAACAAAGTCAGTGAAGAGCTTCTGATCATGTATAAAGACACCATTTAGGAAAAACTTATTGATGAACTGATTAAGTTCTTTCCAGTGATGAAAACCATTCAGTTCTTCTAGTAAGTACCTTTCCATGACGTGTCTAAAATCATCTATCCTTACAGGATTCCTCACCGTATTAAAAAGGCTCATGGATTCTTGTCGAGCACATTCAAATACACCAGAACAATCCTTTCTGAAAGAATGATAATTTTCCCTACAGTCACGCTCAGCAATACATTTCTGTGAATTTGTATTTTTTCTGAATTCTTCAAAGTGAGTTGGTTTTACTTTTCTTCCATCTCTTTGCATAGTAGGGCCTCTGCTATTCTGGTTTTCTGTAGGTGCTCTATACTGTGGATGTAAATAGTCACTAAAAACTGTTCTTGGTTTTTCAGTTGCTTCTTCTGTGGTAGCACCACATCTTTTATTACTCTTTTCATCGAAGATATTCTTGGTGTTATCTTTAAAATGTCTGAAAGTGGATTTAACTGAATCTGAGAATTTTTTCAGATTCTCCTTCACAGCTTCTTTAGCCTGCTTAATTTTTTCTTTATGATGTCTCACAAACTCCTTGGTAGAATTCTTCATAGCATCAAATGTTTCCTTAACTGAACCCAAAAATGTGTTCTTTGACTTATTTTTAGCCCTGTGGTTTCCTCTGCTCCCTTTCTTTTTTCCATCAGTTTCTTGTTTTCCATTTTGATCTTTTGCCTCAACATACAATCTTTCCCACAAATCAGAACGCTGCTGTTCAAAGTTCAGCTTCTGCTCCAGCTCAGTGAGTCTCTCCCGTAAGATTGCTATCTCCTTTTTTTCAGCCAACACATTGGGAGACTCTGAGTTGCTATGTGACTGACTAGCACTTAACTGCTGAAGTTCCACCCGTAAAGCCATGGTTACTAGTCGTTCTCTCTCTAGTTCCCTCTTTAGCATCTTTGCTTCTGCCAACAGAGTCTCCTTTTGATTAAGAAAGCCATATTTTTTCTGCCTTTCCTCTTCCAAATGCTGCTTAAGCTTTTGATTTTCTTTAACTAACTCAGCACTTGTCCCTTTATCTTCCAGTATTCTAATCTGTTCTCTTAGTTTGTTTAATTCTTCTTGTAGTGAAGATAAGGCTTTTTCTTCCTTCTCCAGAGATATTCTTAAATACTGATTTTCTGCAGCAAGGTTCGTTTTCTGAGTTTCAAAAGACATCTTCTCTGCTTCAGTAAGAGTCCAACACGTTGCAAGATTTTCTTTTAATGACTAAATTTTTTTTAGAAAGACAAGAAAGAAAAACATCAAGTGCTTTAAAAGCTGAATTTAAATCTTCAAACTATTAACACCTCATAAACTTTAGTGTCTTTACTAAAGATATTGTCCCGGGGGTTGTATTTTCAATAGTATACACACTGGAAAACACAAAGTTTGTAATGCAAGAAAATGTACAGAGAAATGCATCAAATTAAGAACAACAGTATAGTAGAAGAATTTAGAGAGAAAAGTTAACTCAAGCTCACTTTATTACCAATAAGTGTAATTAGTGTTTCCCATAATCACATGAAGTTTGCACTGACTTATGGACCCATTTATAAGTTTGGAGAAAAGCTCTTCTGTCTTCATTCTATCCTAGAGAATTTAGGCAGGACTAAAAGCTTTTCTGAAACTTTGGAAGAGTTTATATTTTATAAAAAGGAAAATTACATCTAGGCTGACTTTGGACTTCAAAAAATTCTGTTTGTAGTCAGTGTATCCTTTGAATGAGTAAATATTTCAATAATCTTAGTCCTATTAGAAACATTTTACTCCTATGCAATTAACATTTCTAAGAAAGAAACAGCTTAAGTCATAAATTTCATAAGCACACTAGAAGACAGACTGAATATTGGTAACACTTGTAACTAATCTCCCCCAATTTCAAGTAAACTTCTAAAGTGATTATAACCCAGATTACAGCAGTTCTGTAATCTCTACAGATTAATGTAACTCTGAAGATTAATCTATAGAATACTATAACTTCTGAAAGCCAGCATTCATGATAGAGAGAAATCAAGGTCAATCAGGCTTATGAAATTTTACTGCAGTTAAAGGTAGCCTTGACTGACTTGATTTTCTTTCAAATATATGCATTGGTAACAAATGTTATAGTATTTATTTAATCAGTCAGTTAAAATATATATAAATTTACAAAATGATACTTAAGTTTGGTGTAATTTACCAAACAATTTGTAGTTATCCCATTTGAATCAGATCAGTAAATTATCTGGTTTCACAAACAAGCAAAAACAAAAACCTTAAGAGAATGGGACTATTTTTAAATAACTATCTGAAGCCGGGCTCAGTGGCTCAGCCTATAATCCCGCGCCTTTGGGAGGCTGAGGTGAGTGGATTGCCCGAGCCCGCGGGTTCGAGACCCACCTGGACAGCGAGACCTCATCTCTACAATAAATCAAAAAATCAGCCGGGCGTGGCAGCGCATGCCTGTAATTCCGGCTACTCGGAAGGCTGAGGTGGAAGGATCGCCAGAGCTCAGCAGGTAGGCTGCGGTGGCCAGGAGCGGCCACTGCACTCCAGTCTGGGCGACAGAGTGAGACTCCAACTCAAAAATAATAATAAAAAATAACTATCTGAAATGGCTGCTTCACCTTCTGGTTCATTAATCTTCAGAGAACAAATTAAGATTTAAAATTTAATCATAGTCATTTCATCTGCTCTACCTGCATGAGAGTAAACAAATCTACCCAACAGCAGTGGACTTATCAAGTAAAACAGACTAATGCAGCATAATCTTGAAATACACCAACACTGGCTGGGCCCAGTGGCTCACGCCTATAATCCCAGCATTTTGGGAGGCCGAGGTGAGAGGACTGCCTGAGCCCACGGGTTCGAGACCAGCCTGGGCAACTTGGCGAGATCTCATCTCTATAATAAATCAAAAAATTAGCTGGGCATGGTGGCACATGCCTGTAGTTCCAGCTACTTGGATGGCTGAGGTGGAAGGATTGCCTGAGCCCAGCAGGTCAAGGCTGTAGTGACTGTGAGCAGGTCGAGGCTGTAGTGGCTGTGAGCATGCCACTGCACTCCAGCTTGGGCGACAGGGTAAGACTCCAACTTAAAAAAAAAAAAGAAATACAACAACACAAAAAGCCACAGAGAGCAGAAGACTACAGCATTCCTCGTGCAGTAATCATGATTTTGAAATAAATTATTGATAAGCAGATCCTGAGCAGGTCTGCCAAAGAGCTTCAGTATCTGACCCACCACTTAACAGCTAGAAACAGGAGATCTGCAAAAACTGACTTTCTGTAAACATTTGTTTATGTCAAGCCTTCTAAAAGGCAATGTCATCCTACGGAACCAGAAACCACTGTGGTGAGGAAAAAAAAAAAAAACTTCTTCTGATACAGGTAGGAAAAACTGCACTATTTGCAACTGACTTTAGTAGTACTTCCCCAAAAGACAAAATTTGGAGGCAAAGTAGTATTCTGTCTTTTCAAGAAATATAGCCTACAAGGGAAGCATACATAAATTAAGTGTGAAGAAAACTTGGGTATGCGAGAATGGAGGAATAAAGCAACAGCTTACTTTTCTACCGAGTTTATCCCTATATCCTTCCTAGGATAGAACTAAATAGGAGACCAGCAATTTTGCTGGTCCTCATAAGTCCTCGAAAGGCACGTGGTAACAACAGAACAAACAGTACAGTTCTGTAGGTGAGTTTTAGACAGGAAAACCTAACATGCTCTCCCATCAGAATAAGAAACTAATGAAGAGGAACAGCTATTTCCCCTGATCAAGGGAAGATCCTGGAGAGGCTATAAAACCACAGTTCATCTCATGAACTAAAAATGTTTCCTTTGCTCTGTGAACATAATGTTAATAATAAAAATGTCACCAGGCACAGTAGCGCACACCTGTAATATTAGCACTTTGAGAGGCCAAAGTGAGAGGATCGCTTGAGTCCAAAACTTCAAGACCAATTAGGCAATAGAGACCTTGTCTCTATAAATATATCAAAAAATTAGCCCAGTGTGATGGCCTGTGCCTGTAGTTCCAGCTATTTAAGAGGCTGAGGTGAAAGGATCACCTGAGCCCAGGAGGCCAAGGATGCAGTGAGATGTGATCATGCCACTGCATTCCAGCGCAGGCGACAGAGTGACACCTTGGCTCAAAATAATAATGCCTATATGCATATATAAAATGCCAATTTTAAATAATGTTAATTATAATTAAGAATATGGCTTTGAAGTCAGATTCTTGGAATCAAATTACCTCTGCCAGTTGCTACCTTGGGAAAGTTCCTTAACCTTTCTGAATCTTTTACCCACCTATAAAAGGAAGTTAATAATTACTTAATTCACATGTTGCAAGAAATAAGACAAATACTCTATATAATGCACTTGTAACAATGACTGGGACACAGTCAGTGCCTGTACTCAATCAATAATTATCAGCATTATTACTAATTTATAATCTGCATAGTACTTCAATCTAAATAGCACAATTACTAACTATTATGTCTTAAGATGTGTTAGTAGTACACACCTTATAATCTATAAAAGATCCTTGTTCCTGTTGACATTGGGAAAGATAATCCTTCATATCATTCAATTCATCTTCATGTATCTTTCTAACTAACTGTTGACGCTTCTGAATCTGAATTGTGCCTGCAATGAAAATTTTTATTAGGGGGTATAGAACATAAACATTATAATTACCACTATCTTAAAATATATCAAAACATTCAATCTGCATATAACCTAACTACTTAATCCTTACAGAATCATTTTCTTCAAAGTATCAATATCTCATGAATCTTTTAAAATTCTGATTATATAAACAAAGAACAAATAAGTGAAAGTTCATGATGTCATTCATCAAATAGTGGTAGATGTTAACTGTAATATAAATCAGACCAAATAGACTAATTAAAAAAAAAAAAAATATATATATATATACACACACACACATATATATACAGCATACACCCAGGAACATTTAAGCAGTTTACTATCCTTTTGATTAAAACAAACAAGCCAGTCTACACTGTTCTAAACACAGAAAACAATTTATGTTATGTTCTTACTATGTTGAAAACATTCAGCTTTGTTGTTTTAAGGAACTCTTTGAAGTAGAATTTCAGCATCCTTAATACAGAGAAATAAACAAACCATGATGTTTTTGCACAGGTTGTAAGTCAAAAAGTTAAAATAAAAACATCTCTTTTTAAAAATACTTTGTCTAAAGGATACAACAAAGCCCCAAAGGTACAGCGCATAAAATAATTGGCTAATTGTGACTAAGCACCATTCTCAAAGGCAAATTTGTTAAGAATTTTGCAGTGGTTAGATACGTACTGGAGTAACACTGCCTTTATGCCAGCAGTGATAAAAGATCTTAAATTGGGCCGGGCGCGATGGTTCAGACCTATAATCCCAGCACTATGGGAGGCAGAGGCAAGAGGATTGCCTGACCCAGGGGTTCGAGACCAGCCTACACAACTTGGTGAGACCCTGTCTCTACAATAAATCAAAAAAATTAGCGGGGCATAGTAGTTCCAGCTACTTGGAAGGCTGAGGCAGAAGGATCTCCTGAGCCCAGCAGGTTGAGGCTGTAGTAGCTGTGAGCTCCAAGCCGGGTGACAAAATGAGACTCCAACTAAAAAAAAAAAATCTTTAACTAGGATCAAAATGTTACTTTGTCAAGATATGATGTTCACATGCTGCTATATGCTTCATGCATAAGAAGAAAAAATAACTCACTAAGTTAAAAAACTCACTCAAGCCGGGTTCAGTGGCTCAGCCTATAATCCTGCGCCTTTGGAAGGCTGAGGTGAGTGGATTGCCTGAGTTCGTGGGTTCAAGACCCGCCTGGGCAATGTCTACAATGAAATCAAAATGAGCCGGGCGTAGTAGCGCACGCCTGTAGTTCCAGCTACTTGGAAGGCTGAGGCGGAAGGATCGCCAGAGCCCAGCAGGTCGAGGCTGCGGTGACCGGGAGCGGCCACTGCACTCCAGTCTGGGTGGCAGAGTGAGACACCAACTCAAAAACAAAAAACAAAAAAAAACCTCAGTCATTACTGAAAAATTCATTCAGTAACTTTAATATTGCATCTCGCGAGCAGGTACATCAATTATGTACAGACATCACAGAATTATATAATGAAAGCATGTAATGATAGCTATTTCTTCCCTTACTCCTATAAAAATTATTTTTAATTTATTCAATAATATTGAAAAATACTAACAAGAAAACTTCTGCCAACTTACAGATAACTGATATTCTAAACCCTAGTTAACTACTATGATATTCTGTGTTAGAATTCATTTTCTCTCTTAATATGTTCCAATTTATAGAAGCATGGCAAACCTGTTTCAAAACCTCTCAAAGGAATTTGATTTTTTTCAAGTGTTGAAAGAAATTTCTCAGGCCAGGTGCAGTGACTCAAGCCTATATCCCAGCACTATGGGAGGCCAAGTCGAGATTACCTGAGCCTACAGGTTCGAGACCAGCCTGGGCAAAATGGTGAGACCTCATCTCTACAATAAATCAAAAAATTAGCTGGGCATAGTGGCGTTCACCTGTAGTTCCAGCTAGTTGGGAGGCTGAGGAGGAAGGACCACCTGAGCCCAGCAGGTTGAGGCTGCGATGGCCATAAGCGTGCCCCTGCACTCTAGCCTGGCCGACACAGTGAGAGACTGACTCAAAACAAAACAAAAACAAAAACAGAAAACCTCTAACTTCCTGCTTCAAACTGCTAAGAAGATGAATTCCTTTGCCTACTGGAAAATAAAATAGCTGCAATGTGAACTCAAGATACTATTATATAGCATATACTTGATGACTGCCTTAATGAGGCCTTTTTCAATTTCACTCACTAATCATTGGGGTATTTTTTTTTTCTGTATCTTCAGCTGCCTAACTATAAAGTGTTACCACCCAAGATACAATCTTTGGCCTTCTAGTCATGTCTGTAAACACTGCCTATGTTACAATGGTAACCAATTGTAAATTTTTGCTACCACTCCTGTTAAGACTTATTATCATCGCCAGGCTCGGTAGCTCAGCCTGTAATCCCAGTACTCTGGGAGGCTGAGGCGAGTGGACTGCCTGAGCCCGCGGATTTGAGACCCACCTGGGCAACTTGGCGAGACCTCATCTCTACAATAAATCAAAAATTAGCAGGCGTGGTAGCGCATGCCTATACTTCCAGCTATTTGGAAGGCTGAGGCGGAAGGAACGCTGGAGCACAGCAGGCTGAGGCTGCGGTGACCAGGAGCGTGCCATCGCACTCCAGTTTGGGCAACAGAGTGAGACTCCAACTCAAATAAATAAATAAATAAATCAACAAGTAAAAGACTTATCATCTACAGATATAGTCCTAACCTCTTATCAGAGTTTCTAGCCAATACATCAGATGCTCGTTGGACACAATTTTGGGGGCCTCCACCTGGTGGCCAGGGGAATCAAACTTCAACACCTGTCCCAAACCAGTCTAGAATATATTTGGGTAAAAACAAACCAAAAGGTGCTTATATCACTTATTTATTTTATCATCTGGCAAAATCCTTCTCCAGTAAACCCCAACTCCAAAAATGAAGCAGCCAGCACACTTCCTAAAATTTAATAAACTGCCATTTTCTCAGGTATCCAGGCTCAAAGCTTTATTTTCTATTATTCCATTAGTGTCTCTTATTTTACCAACCTTCTCTCCATCCCCCACTGCCACTACAATTCTCAAGGTCCTCATCCCAAATACCTTGATTACAAACCTCCTAACTGACCCTTCTAGTTTTTCCCACAACACTTACTTTCCTACACTTTTTTCTTTAAAATTACTGCAGTCAGGTCACTCAACAAATCAACTTTTCCTACCTAAATTCCAAGATGTTTTATAATATACAGTTGACCCTAAAGCAACCCGGATTTGAAATGCTTGGCAGGATGCAAAAATCTGTGTATATAAAGGGACAACTTTTCCTATGTACAGCTTCTCTGGTGGTGGGACTTCGGTATGAGCAGGTTTTGGTATTGGGAGTTATGTCCTAGAACCAAACTATCTAATGTACCAAGAGACGACTGTAACAGCATCCCACATATTCCATTATTTCTAAGTATTTATTCTGCTGTTCAGGTAGTCTTCTCACTGCTCCCACAGTCCTCAGGTTATCAGTTTCCATTGCTGGAATGTTTTACTTTCCGTTTGTTCTATCTTAAACTTACTATGACTAGACACAACTTAAACCGTACCACCTTCAAGATAACTTAATAAGTGGATCCTCTGAGCTGTAATTCATGTCTGTGCTATATAACTCAGCATTGAGTTATATTGTTATACTGTCTGCTGAAGAGTCAGGCAGCCTACCAATATTTAAAGCAACTCCCTGAGAAAGCCAAGTCAATTGAATTCCATTGTTGATTTAGAATACAGAGACCAGCCGGGCTCGGTGGCTCAGCCTGTAATCCCACGCCTTTGGGAGGCTGAGGTGAGTGGATTGCCTGAACCTGCGGGTTCGAGACCAGCCTGGGCAGCGAGACCTCATCTCTACAATAAATCAAAAAATCAGCCAGGCGTGGTAGCACATGCCTGTAATTCCAGCTACTTGGAAGGCTGAGGCGGAAGGATCGCCAGAGCCCAGCAGGTCGAGGCTGCGGTGGCCGGGAGTGGCTACTGCACTCCAGTCTGGGCGACAGAGTGAGACTCCAACTCAAAAAAAAAAAAAAAAAATTCAGAGACCATAAGTAAAGATAAGAACAAAGGCCGGGCTCGGTGGCTCAGCCTGTAATCCCAGCACTTTGGGAGGCCGAGGTGAGTGGATTGCCTGAGCCTAATGTAGGTTCCAGACCCGCCTAGGCAACTTGGCGAGACCTCATCTCTACAATAAATCAAAAAAATTAGCCAGGCGTGGTAGTGCACGCCTGTAGTTCCAGTTACTTGGAAGGCTGAGGAGGAAAGATCACCCGAGCCCAGCAGGTCGAGGCTGCAGTGGCCAGGAGCGGCCGCTGCACTCCAATCTGGGTGACAGAGTGAGACTCAAACGCAAAAAAAAAAAAAAAGTATGTAATTGTTCAATGATTATAAATCAGATGGCTGACTATGGGGTGCAATGACTGACTTCACAGTGGGTGGGAAATTCAAACTGACTCTGAAATCAACTCTGAGATCAGTGCCGAAACAGAAAAAATGTGATGTCCTTTAAGTATTGACTGTGAAAAGTCATTCAGGTTAGGTCTTGTATGTTTATTATACTAATCTCATTACTATATAAATCTACTTCGTATTATATTATCCAGGCTTTTCGTACCCTGAAAAGACTAATATGACAGTAAGTACAGGAAAATGTTTTATTAATTTTAAATATTAAAGTAAATTTTACTAGTAGCCAAACTTCTAAATAACAGGGAAGTAACTTCTCACTTTGAAAGCACTCCTCAGCAAACTGTTTTTCCTACAAAATATTCAAAGGTCATACAAAAGGTAAGGTTTTAATATAATTTAGATTAACATTTAAAATAACTATCCAGCTTTTTTTTACAGTAAGAAAAAATATTAAGATAAGACCCTCTCCTTTGTTACCTTCATGTTTACCTGTGGGGGAGAAAAATCATATTAAAAAAACATACTGATATTATTTTCATAGTCAATAAAGTTAAATACATATTTCCAATCAAATCTCATTGTAACAAACTTCAAAAGTGACACAAATTATGGTATCTCTGTATTAAATTCAAGCAGGCATCCCTCAAAAGTCTAAATACATATTATTAATATGAAGTTTAATATAAGGTCATCTCTGGGAGCCTGAAGTGAGAGGATCGCATGAGCCCAGGAGCTTGAGACTAACCTAGGCAACCTCATCTCTATGAAAAATTAGCTGGGCACCTGTTGTATTCTCAGCTACTCAGGAGGTTAAGGCAGGAGGTCAAGACTGTGGTAAGCCATGATCAAGCCAATGCACTCCAGCCTAGGCAACAGAGTGAAATCCTGACTCAAAAAAAAAGAAAAGAAAAAGAAAAAGGGACACATTTTGCTATGACTTTAAACATGTATTGATGGTTTTCATTAAGTTCATTCTAACATCACACTATTGAAATATGTATCTTTTCCACAAACCGACACAAGGCATATGCAATTCTTCAATCTTTGCATAAGGTACATTTTTTAGAAGGATCTACCAAATAAAAAGTTAAACTGTGGATTATGTAGGTAAAAAAAAAAATCTAAAAGTAGTGAACATAATGCAAACAAAAATTTGTAAAGTTGACAAGATCTCAGACATTTTTTTTAAAGTGCTCCCACTCTAAATTCTAATATAGCAAAGACAGTGAATATTCTGTTTTTAAAGACTCTTTTGTAAAAACATATACCATAAATAACAGATTCAATAGTGAGGCTCCTGAATGAAAAATTAACATCAGTGGAATGCCTTCCTTTTCTCACCCAAAAAGCATTTAAAAGGCTTTGTATTAATAAGATAATCAACACCATAAATAGTAACAAGCAAACTAAAGGACAAAATATAAGGTTAAACAAAAGATGAAAAATTCTCAATTTATGTGAATCATGGAAGCAATAATGAATGTCACAAATATGATACACGTAACCTCAAAGTAAAAATAATGAACACTAATTATTTTGACATTTCAAATTAACTATGTCAACTGGGATTTAAATAAGCCTCTTAATAAAGTCACAGTTCAAATTAGTTTAACTGTGATTCTAAATTAAAATGATTTGCCTCATGGTATTTCAGATTTTCATCTTCTAATCTGCTGAGTTTTAAAAAGTCATAGACATATATGCTAATAATATGTATTATTATTATACATATTAATACATATTACATATGCTAATAATCCTAGCATTTCTTAAATAAATTTGCGTGAAAACAGTTTTGTGAGATAGGCAGCAACTACTTCCAGAATGAGAAAATTGAGGTTCAAACATGTCGCAAGTTTTCAAGGTCACATTTTTAATGTTGGCACTGAAAAGAGATTCAAGGACTCCTCACTCTTAGTAAGTCTCTCTACATCAGTTGTGTATAACAAATTTTGAAATATTTACCATAGAAATGTCCAAATCCCATGCTGATTGCAACCACCAAAGCAAGTATAACACATTTATTAAGACCACTACTGAATTGGTGTTTACTCGACTCCCTAGAAGGTTCAGTTTCTTGTTCAGCAAGCAGGTGTTCTTCAGATTCTGAAGTAGAAACAGTTTTCTTCCTTGCACGGCGCCGTCTAAAGGCCGGACTGGGCTGGGTACTGGTTTCATCACTACTTGATTCATCTTCACTAGGCTGAGATGAAAATACTATTTTAAAAAGAAAAATGTTGACATTTAGCTTTTAAAAATTTTGGAAAAGCTTTCTCAGTAAATACTGAGAAATAATATATAGAATATATTTAGAATAATCAATGCCATCCCTCCATGACTTTTTACATAATAGCCAAAAACAAACAACACAAACAAAAACACAAGTTTTCAATTTATTAACATAAAGCCAAAACAAAAAAGATCCTAACTGTGATACACACAAATCTGTTATTCATATTATTCTGTGCTTGGAGAACCTATCTCCGTTTTTTTACTCCTTCACCCCCATAGTTTACGCTGTTAGAATAATAATTTATTCTTGTGCCTATTAAATTTCACTGGTAGCCGGGCACAGTGTTTCACACCTGTAATCCCAGCACATTGGGAGGTGGAGGCGAGAGGACTGCCTGAGCCCACAGGTTCTAGACCAGCCTGGGCAACATGGCAAGACTCTGTCTCTACAATTAAAAAATTTAAAAAACAAAAAAAAAAGCCAGGCATGGTGGCTCACACCTAATCCCAGCCCTTTGGGAGGCTGAGGTTCAAGAATTGCCTGAGCCCACGGGTTCAAGATCAGCCTGGGCAACTTGACAAGACTTCATCTCTACAATAAATCAAAAAATTAGCCAGGCGTGGTGGTACACACCTGTAGTCCCAGCAACTTGGAAGGCTGAGGTGGAAGGATCGCCTGAAGGCAGCAGGTCGAGGCTGCAATGGACGTGAGCACACCTCTGCACTCCAGCCTGGGTGACAGAGTGAGACTCCAACTCAAAAAAAAAAAAAAAAAATTAGCCAGGCGTGGTTTGTGTGCCTGTAGTTCCAGCTACTTGGCTACTTGGAAGGCTGAGGCAGAAGGATCGCCTGAACCCAGCAGGTCGAGGCTGTGGTGGCCATGAGTTTATTAACACTGCACTCTAGCCTGGGTGACAAAGTGAGACTACGACTCAAAAAAATAAAAATAAAATAAACAAACAAAATTTCATTGTAATCAGAGGTATAAACAAGTACTATTTTTGGAAAGAAAAAAAACGTCCTCTGTCTTTCATTCAATTACAAATAGAGGAAATTTAAGTGTAACTGTTTAAGGAACACAGGAAAGTATACAAGCAGTTCCCGTGACATACAAAGTACAATAACTACCAAAAGTTTCCTCAGGTGTATCTAGTCTCTAGATTCACTTCTGACCTAATAGCCCAGGATCAAAGTTCAAAGCACTATAGTTTAACATAGGTTTCCAGAAGTCAGATGAGCCCTTCCCTTCGACTGCCACTCTTACTAGAAGGTTATTAATTTCACCCTCTAGTAAATATGTCAGCATGAGGAAGTGACACAACAGCTATCTCCGATATTAAGGACTAGTCTGGTGCTGCTCCTTTATGAAAAGAAAAGCAAAGAACAACACATCAGGGGAAAAAAAACTGCACACAAGATCTCAAGTCTGGAAACACAACCCTGGAAAAACTACCTTCAGTTTTTTCCAAATGCATAATTTCTTGACACAGTTCCAAACATCAACAAACCATATATTAACAAAGACGATTCAATCACTCAGTAATAATTTCCACAAGCCAGTTAGAAGAAAAGCACTAAAAGTAAGGAAAATGTGAGCTTGAGCTCCAAAATAACAAACATTCATGCTCCAAAAAAGCAAAAACAGCTCTTCAGAAGACAGGATGTCCATGCCATAGGAAAGCTGGTGATTTGGGTTAGGCAGAACTTTTCAAGATGGATCATGAAGTATTCAGTTTGCTTTCACACTTACAACAATAAACACAAAGACAGAAGGCACTACTGAATGAATGAATATTCCTAATATTTAGTGATACAGATGCCACTGACAGAGTTTTTGGTCATGACCCTTATGCCCATCATGTTTATCTGGTTATTCTTGATCACTAGTTTTTCCAAGATGCCGTCGCCTCAGGTGTGAGGTTACATTTCTTGGACAAAGAGAAAGAAAGGAAGACTTAAATAAAGCATTACATAATACAAAGGCAGTCATGATCATGGAGTATTTAAGTCAGACTTTCTGACAAAAAAATTAAGATAGGTAAATATAAAAACAAACCATTTGTAAAACTTTCTTAAGTAAATGCCCAGTTCCACATTAATATATTGCCTTCATAACATATTCTAACAAGCCAACCTAACCAATATCAATAAAGTCGTGTCCTTATTGGATGTTTCCATCTTTTTTAAACCATACATATAACAGTTGAACTATTTTGACTTTTAAGTTTTAAAGCTTAATTTGGCTCATAGTCCAAGATGCAAGCAATGCAAAGGCATGCAATAAGCTTGGCCAGCTTTTTTACAAGATCAATTTTGGACACCTATTTAGAATATCACGGATGACAACAGGTATCTCTAAAGCACTCAGTAAATAGTAAATGTGACTAGGCACACTCAGCTCAAGAGAAGCTGGTCAGATTTAGTCACAACACCTTGGAAAGCGAGTTGGCTAGGAACATGATGTTTCAGCTGATCATCCCATCCCCTTATGCACTCAGGAATCTTCCACAGCTTCTCCCACCACCTTTCTTTTGTGAATAAACAGGAAAAAAGATGTATAAAGCTTCATTATAAAGAATAAAAAGGAAAAAGAAACTGAAAATACTAATTAATTATCACAACACTGTTTCTGTACCAAATTAAAATGTAATAATCATGCCTTTTTAAAAAATATACAGAATACAAACTTCTCTATAACCAAAAACTTGGCTTTCCAGAAGGAAGGGGAGGTCATAAGAGGAAGTGGGCAGCATTCTTAAATCAACAAAAAGTACACTGCCACAAGAATACAACTTAGTATAAGAAAAAATTGAAGGTAAAGGCTGGACGCAATGGCTCATACCTGTAATCCCAACACTTTGGAAAGCTAAGTCAGGAAGACTGCCTGAGGCCAGGAGTTCGAGACCAGCCTGGGTAACATAGCAGACTCCATCTTGACCAAATAACTAAGCAACGGGTAGCAAAAAATTAACAAACCAAAAAAATATGAAGTAAGGGCAACAGAACAATAACTCTTCTTGGCAACAGATTTATACATATTTTCAGCATAGTCCAAATTTTGTCTACTGCAACAATATCTTTAGGAGGAAAAAGAATGAGCAAAAATACACTTAACCAAATATTCTTCTTAACTGAGTCTACAAAATTCCCAAGAAGTCAGAGTTCAAAAAGGAAATAAACACTAGAATAATGGGCTTAGGAGTATCGAAATTCCTGGAAAAAATTAACAGCATGCAGTTTCCTTTTATGTTTACATCAATGTCTTATATGCCTGCTCAGAACTTTCTGCAGTACTCATGCTTTAATTTGACTTTTCTGGTCCATGAATATTCTCAAATTAAACCAGAGGGTAGAAAGAAAGGAAGTGGAAAAAAAGACTACTTGAACACAGCACAAATCCTGAAGCTTCTTTACAAAGTGAAATTTGATGACCAACTATGTATTTTTTTTAACAAAAGCTGAAGTTTTCCTCTGGCCACCAAGAATGTCAGGTGAATTAATAGTTGAATAAACTATTTTCAAGCTCATGTTTATAGGCAAACTACTGATAAATTAACTGAAAATAACTCCTCATTAAATGAGATAGCCAAGCATCTCTACTTTGATATGTTACTAGCTTAAACCAGCATGACAAAACTTCTATTGTCTAATTCTGGATGCCAAATGTAAATAATAAAGAATGGTAAAATCTAAGGAAATAATCTAAATAGATACTAAATGTTACCATTTTTCCATCAAATTAGAAAATTTTTGGAATCACTAGCAATGTTCCAAGTTGTCTCTGCTGAAACTCACCCTTAGATGTGATTGTAGATTAAAAACTGTGGATTAATTACAGGTTTATAGCTTATGATATTTTTCAGGAACTTTTTGTCTAAAATTTATGTCACAATGAAATACTTCATATACATTTCCAAAACTGAGCTGAAGAAGAATTGAAAAGAACTATGCAACTCATATTTTCATCTCCAAATGATTTTTTCTGAACAGTCAGCATTAATTGCAATAAGAATGTGACTTATGATAGGAACATTTTCATAACACAACCTAAAATCAAATATCCTGGCTGAGCACAATGGTTCACACCTGCAAATGCAGCATTTTGGGAAGACAAAGCAGAAGGATCACTTGAGGTCAGGAGTTCAAGACCAGCTTGGGCATCAAGGCAAGACCCTGTCTCTACAAAAAACTCTAAAAACTAACCAGGTATGGGGGCTTGTGCCTATAGTCCCGCCTACTCAGCAGACTGAGGCAGGATTGCTTGAGTCCAAGTCTGAGGCTGCAGTGAGCTATGATCATGATACCACACTCCAGCCTGGATGACAGAGCAAGACCCTGTCTCTAAAATAATAATAATAATAATAATATAAAGATTGAAAAGTCAGGAGTTTTGGGAGACTGCACCTTGAACTCTTATTGGTGGGTACTCAACAAATATGTGCTGAATGACTAATAACTGAATGTATCTGAAAAAACTTCATTAAGAATTGTCTTGCCAGGCATGATGGCTCACACCTGTAATCCCAGCACTTTGGGAGGCAAAAGCAAGAGGATTGCTTAAGTCCAGGAGTTTAAGACCAATCTGGGCAACTTGGTGAGACCTCGTCTCTACAATAAATCAAAAAATTAGCCAGACGTGGAGTACGCTCCCCTATGGTTCCAGCTAGCTACTTGGAAGGCTGAGGCATAAGATCACCTGAGCCCAGAAAGTCGAGCCTGCAGTGGCCGTGAGTGTGCCACTTCACTGCACTCCAGCCTAGGCAACAGAGTGAGACTCCAACTCAAAAAAAAAAAAAGAATTTTCTCTCACTAGTTTTAAACTTCAAAATGTATCTTATTGGATGTAAAAATATAAACATTCTCTCTGTCTTTAGGTGGCCCAATCTCCCACACTTAAAAATCTGAAAAACACCAAATGCATTTTTGAGCGTTTGTAATTGCAATAAATCCCCTTGAAGAAATTTTGTCTCCTGTTTAATGGCAAAGGATGGTTACTGACAGAAGAAGACTGCTGTACGCTAGCCATAGAGTCTAAGAAAACACTACATACAATAGTAAATTTTTTAAAAAACTGTCTTGAGTTTTACCCAAATATACTTAAAACTAGAGACTGTGGGTTAGAAAACAAGCCATTATATAAAATGTGGTCATGCAAGCCCTGACATCTCTAATCAGTGTATTCTTAACACAGTTCTTACCAGTTTCTGGATGACAGAATGCATACTGACTACTTGAGGAAGAGCCCATGTTAATGTCTTCTGGACTCTGTGCTTCTTCTTCAACAAGGATGACTTCTTGATTTTCAATTTCTTCTAACTTAGGTGGCTCAAGGGTAACAATATCAGAATCATCACTGGCAGTTCCAAAACAGACACTATCCTCAGGTATCTTTTCTTCCTCTGCCTAAAGAATCATAATTTTAGAGACAGTAAATTCAACAATTTATTTAAGGGCCTTATATTTTCTATACAGTTCTAAATATATAATGGCATTAAACGTTATAGTAATTTGAGGTTAAAATAAAAGATAGTACTCCTACCCATTAGTAAAGAATTAATTATGCAATAGTAGGCTTATCTTCCAGCTTGAAAACACCACCAAACTCCTTGGCAACTCTCAGAATTAAAAACAAACCACTGTCTTCTCCTAGTGGGCTGCAGAAGTTGAGAAGCTCACCTTTACACCTCAATAACAATAGAAAGAGTTCGTTTTCTCATCAGTTACATGGGTCAATTTTAGCATATCTGTATTCAGCCAAAAAAGACAGATTAAACTTTTGTAGTTATGTATACAATAAATTTCTTTTTATTTTTTAAGAATTTATTATAGAGTTGTGGGGTACAAGTGAGGATTTACTACATTAGTGGGCTGCATGCATGTGAAGGATGGGCTTCTAGGGGGCCCTCACTGCCCCTGGTAGTGGGCCAGATATGCTTTGGTGTTGTCATGTGTCCCTCCACCCTCCTCCCTCCCTACACTAGTAATGCCCAGCAACTATAGATCCCACCTGTGTGCTAATGTGACTAGTGATCAGGGCCCACTTGAGTGAGAACATGAGTATTCAGTTCTTTGTTTCTATGACAGTTTGCTTAGTATGATAGTCTCCAACTGCATCCAAGTTGCTATGAAGACCATGATTTTGTTCTTCTTTATGGCTGCATAATACTCCATTGTGTGTGTATACCACATTTTCTTCATGCAGTCTATTTTTAATGGGCAATACATTTCATCTCCAACTGCATCCAAGTTGCTATGAAGACCATGATTTTGTTCTTCTTTATGGCTGCATAATACTCCATTGTGTGTGTATACCACATTTTCTTCATGCAGTCTATTTTTAATGGGCAATACATTTCAATAGCAATGCATTTGAATGTATCCCCCAAATTCCTATGTTAAAATGTAATCATCAATGTGATAGTATTAATAGGTAGAGCCTTTAGGAGATATATAGGTCATGAGGGCTTCTCCCTTGTGAATGTGACTGAGGTCTTATAAAACAAGGCTTCACAAAGCATCCAGTCCTTTTTTTCTGTTCATCCCTTCTTGAATATGCAACAAAGTACCATTTAGAAGCAAGAGAGCGGCCCTCATCAGACACTGAACCTCCCAGCACCTTAATCTTGGACTTCCCAGACTCCATAACTGTAAGAAATAAACTTCTGTTCCTTATATATCACCTAGTCTCAGGTATTTTTATAGCAGTACAAATAGACTAAGATACCATGTAAATTCTATCTAGCTATCTAGTTTTATCTAGAAGTAAAACTCCAAAGAACAAGAATTAGCTACCAAATTTAAAAATTAACCGTCACTTTAGATAAATATTAACAGCTTAATTTCTCGAGCTCGAGTATTTTTTGCCTGTTTGTTTTTTTGCATCAGAATCTCACGCTGCTGCCCAAGCTGCAACGCGGTGACATTCTCACAGCTACCACAGTATCAAACTACTGGGTTCAGGTGATCCTTCCACCTTAGCCTTCCAAGTAGCTGGAACTACAGGCAAGCACCACCATGCCCGGCTAATTTTTTATTTACTGTAGAGACAAGGTCTCACCATGTTGCCCAGGTTGGTCTCGAACCCATGGGCTCAGGCCACACCTCCCAAATCCTTTTGCCTCTACCTCCCAAAGTGCTGGGGTTACAGGCATGAGCTACTGCGCCTGGCTTAATTCCTCTATAAATTCAAGAATGCAACCTACTTCAAAATTAAATTATATTAGAGGTTAGAAGAACATATCTTTAACACAATACCAACAAATTACTTTTCTTTTTCTTTTCTTTTTTTTTTTTTTTGAGTTAAAGTCTCACTCTGTCGCCCAGACTGGAGTGCAGTGGCTGCTCCTGGCCACCGTAGCCTCGACCTGCTGGGCTCCGGCGATCCTTCCACCTCAGCCTTCCAAGTAGCCAGAATTACAGGCACGCGCTGCCACGCCTGGCTAATTTTTTGATTTATTGTACAGATGAGGTCTCGCCTGCCCAGGCGGGTCACAAAACAAATTGCTTTTCTAAATTAAAAGATTCCTCAATCAGAAGTCAAAATTGCTTATAATTCAAATAGACAGCAAGACATTTGCAGCCCTGGAAGGTGTGCACCCTTGTCGACCTGTGGGGACCTTGGGAGAGGAATGTAGGCCTGGTGTAGTCTCTTGTGTGGACAGAGTGAGAAGAGAACAATGCAGAAGGACCCTGGTCCAATAGTACCTTTGTAATGATTGGGCTTTAGCTATGCAACCCTGGTTGCTTCTTGTGGAATCACTGGCTATGTAAAAGCAGGTAGTGTGCCATCCCTGGATGCTGGGCTCCTCTTTGGTGGTTTAGCAGGCCTGGGTGCTTATCAGCATCTCAGGATCTAAGGAACATTTAGGTTTTCCTAGCTACATCTGGGACCTTAGCTGGCATTATGGGAAAGACATTCTACCACTCTAGAAAACTGATGCCTGCAGGTTTAATTGCAGGTACCAGTTTACTGATGGTCACCCAAAGGTGGAATTAGTATGCTGAATAGACACCATCAATAGTCATGTCCCAGCTTGGACTCATGACAAATGAAAGTCTCCTAACTTACACTGTTTTCAACGTATTAAGAAAAATAAGTGTAGCATTTTAACATATTCTGACATTAAAAAAAAAAAAAGACAGAATTTGACAGGGAAAAAAAATCAGCTGTTACACTACAACCCTACAGAAGTAACAAGCATAAAACACACGAGTTTAATGATACTCTCATACAATTTGACTCTTGTATATTGATGTTATCTCCTCTTTCTATATCTATTGGTAAAATCTCAAGGGTAAAACATTAGGTGCCAACACTGGGGGCCCTGAAGTTCCATGCCCTTCTCAAAGGAGCAGAGTGAAAAAAATCTCTTATGAGATTTAAAATATCTGTTATTTTGTTCATCTTAAAGCTCAGACCTACTTTGAAATTATGTTAAATGAAATATCAATGAAAATAAGGTTTACATAATAAAAAAATAATTCAAATAAAAAGAGATTGTACAACTAGAGGCCAAGTGCCTGTATTCCAGAACTTTGAGAGGCTGAGAAATGAGGATCACTTGAGTACAAAAGTTCGAGACCAACCTAGGTAACACAGCAAGACCTCATCTCTACAGAAAATCAGAAAATTAGCCAGGTACAATGGCGCAAGCCTGTAGTCCCAGCTACTCAGAAGGCTGAGGCAGAGGGATCACCTAAGCCACGAAGGTCTAGGCTGCAGAGAGCCATGACCATATGACTGCACTCCAACCTGGACAACAAAGTGAGACCCTGAATCAAAAAAAAGAAAAAAAGAAAAAAAATGCAACTAGAAATGAAGGCTTTAATATGTATTCTCTAAGGAATGTATTCTAATATGTATTCTCTAATACATCCACAGTGCAAAACACAAGTTTACCTCAATTCTTGACTTGGCTTCTTCGGTATCTGGATATGCAGTTTCTCCCAAAAACATTGTGCCATTTTGGCTGCTTTCTGATATAAAGCAAAGACCAATACAGTTATTTCTTCATTTAAAATACTCTGTTGACTTTTTGTAGTCTATATACAATCTAAGTAGATAAAAATCTATTCCTAATATGTTAAAGAGGACTTAATGAAATGTCACATAGCATAAAAGTCATTCCAATGCTACTAATAAATTTCATTAAATCATCAGGGGATAATCTTAGATACTATATTTGAAATTGTCAGGGGATAACTTTAGATACTAAACTGAAATCATTTAGGATTCACTAAGAACTCAAAAAGCTACTTTGACTAAGTCACTAAAATCTCTACCTTACAATATGAAATTACTTAATCCCAGGTGTTTATAAAAACCTGCTAATATGAAAAATCTATTCTCAGATGCCTAGCAACATATTTCCTGAATTCTTAAAAGTTCATTCAAGGCCAGGCTCAGTGGCTCAGCCTGTAAACCCAGCACTTCGGGAGGCCGAGGCGAGTGGATTGCCTGAGCCTGTGGGTTCAAGACCAGTTAGGACAACTTGGCGAGACCTCATCTCTAATATAAAAAATAAAAAATAGCTGGGCGTGGTAGCGCATGTCTGTAGTTCTGGCTACTAGGAAGGCTGAAGCAGAAGGATCGCTGGAGCCCAGATGTTCAATGCTGGAGCCCAGAAATTCAACCCTGGGGTGGCCATGAGAATGTATGCCACTGCACGCCAGCCTGAGTGAAAGAGTGAGACTCCAACTCAAAAAAAAAAAAAGCTCATTCAAAATTCCTAAAAATACTACTATTCTAATGGTTGTCAATGCCTGGTACCATAAGAATCAAAACTATAGCTTCAAATTATAAATGATTTATAAAAGTACATATAAACATACAGAAAAACCAACCATAAAAAAAAGAACTCAAAAGAACAAAGAAAAATAATGTCACTGTAGAAGATAAACTGCATAAGAATCTCTTCAAAGAAAACACATACAAACAGAACATTGAGTACACAATATATTTTTAATGAAAATGTTAGCCAGGAACATTGGCTCATTTCTGTAATCCCAGAACTTTGGGAGGCAGAGACAAGAGGACTGCCTGAGCTCAGGGGTTCAAGATCAGTCTGGGCAACCCGATGAGACCTTGCCTCTACAATAAATCAAAAGTTAGCTGAACATGGTAGCATGAGCCTGTGGTTCCAGCTACTTGGAAGGCTAAGGCGGAAGGATCACCTAAGCCCAGCAGGTGGAGGCTGTAGTGGCCCTGAGCATGCTACTGCAATCCAGCCTGGGTGACAGAGTGAGACTCCAACTAAAAAAGGAAAAAAAAAAAGTTAAACATGAACAGAACTTTTAAAAAATGGCCAGAAGGGCTACTCTTTCAGGTCACCTCCCACTGTGGAAGCTTTTCTGTCCTCTTAATAAATCCTGTTTTCTAAAAAAGTAAAAAAAAAAAAATGGCCAGGCATGACAGCCCATGCCTATAATCCCAACACTTTGGTAGGCTGAGGTGAGAGGATTGCTTGAGCCCAGGAGTTTGAAACCAGCCCAGGCAACATAGTGAGACCTTGTCTCTAAAGAGATTAAAAATATATAATAATTATAATAATGTCAAATATAACAAGCATATATATTTATACACAAAGAATATACACAATATGTTAACATCAATTATTTCCAGATAAAATAATTATAGGCCATTTTCCATTTCTTTTGCTTATCATTAATTTTTCCCTAACATGAACATGCATTTCTTTTCTTTTTGAGTTGGAGTCTCACTCTGTTACCCAGGCTGGAGTGAAGTGGCATGCTCACGGCTACTGCAGCCTCCACCTGCTGGGCTCGGGTGATTCTTCCACCTCAGTTTTCCAAGCAGCTGGAACTACAGGTATGAGCAACCACGTCCAACTAATTTTTTTTATTTATTGTAGAGATGAGGTCTCACCAAGTAGCCCAGGCTGGTCTCGAACCTATAGGCTCAGGCAATCCTTTCCCTACGCCTCCCAAAGTGCTGGGATTATAGGCATAAGCAACCACACCCAGCTGGAACATGCATTTCTTATGTAATTTAACTCCTCCAAAGAACAGTAAAAAACAAAAACCAAAAAACTATCTTTCAGTGTCACATACCTCCTAATAGAATACAACTTAATTTGTAAATAAGACTCCTTGACAATGTTGGGCTTGGGGCCAAGATCCCCAAGGAAATATGGAAAACTTTTAAACATATGCTAGCAAATGCATTTTTTAGGAAAAAATTGTCCATAGCATTCAGATTCTCAAAAACATCTCTGACCCACAAAAAAGAATCACCGTTCAAATGAGAATAGTAATCAACATGTAGGATGGGGGGCGGGGGGGGTTGAACAGGTATAATTTCTCCTGTGTCTGACCTTGACACACCTATTCTATTCTCCTGATGGGGATGTGTTCTGTGTACTGTATATTTTACTGCAATTTTCTTTTAAGTCAGAGTCTCACTGTATCACCCAGCCCTCGACTTGCTGGGCTCAAGTGATCCTTCCAAGTAGCTGGAACCACAAGCATGTGCCACCGTGCTGTCTCACCATATTGCTCAGGCTGGTCACAAACCCCTGAACTCAGGCAATCCTCTTGCCTCTGCCTCCCAAAGTGCTGGGATTATAGGAGTGAGTCACCATGCTCCGCCTAACTGCAACTTTTTAAAAAAGGTTTAGGGAGTAATTTAAATGTGAAAACAAGAGTCTATAGTAATTAATTGAAAGTCATAATTCTCTATATAAATAATATGAGCATCAAATCCCACAGGAAGTATATATAACATCAATGCAATACAGTAGTCAATTTCCATTTTACCAAATTCTAACCAAGCTACAGGCATATCTAAGAAATATTGTGGGCTCAGCTCCAAAACAATGCAATAAAACAAATTCATGATTTTGGTTACCCAGGGCATGTAAGTTATGTCTACACTATATTACAGTATATTAAGTGTACAACAGTATTATGTCTAAGAAAATGTACATATCTGCCTGGTGCACTGGCTGCAATAATTCAGTCACATCTTCAGGCTCCACTTCTAATTCTTGTTCTCTGTTTCCACCCCATCTCCACTTACTACCTCCACTCAAGTCTTGTACCTTTCAAAGTCATTCATAAGAGTTGAAATTAACTTCTTCCAAACTCCTGCTAATGTTAATATTTGACTTCCTCCCATAAATCACAAATGTTCTCAATGGCATCTAGAATGGTGAGCCCTTTCCAGAAGGCTTTCAATTGACTTTTCCCAGATCCATCAGAGGAATCATTATGTATGTCAATTATACCCTTAAAAGATGTATTTCTTAAATGATAAGACTTGAAAGTCAAAATTACTCTTTGATCTGTGGGCTGCAGAATGGATACTGTGTTGGCAGGAAAAAAATGACATTAATCTCCTTATACGCCAGGCATGGTGGCTCACACCTGTAATCCCAGCACTTTGGGAGGTGGAGGCAAGAGGACTACTTGAGCCCATGGGCTCGAGACCTGCCAGGGGCAACATGGTAAGACCGTGTCTCTACAATAATCAAAAAAAATTAGCCAGGCATGGTGGTACATGCCTATAGTCCCAGCTACTTGGGAGGCTGAAGCAGAAGGATCGCCTGAACCCAGCAGGTTAAGGCTGCAGCGGCCGTGAGAGTGTGACTGTACTCCAACCTGGGCAACAGAGTGAGACTCCAACTTAAAAAACAAAAAATCTCCTTATACTCTCCATCAGAGCCCTTGGGTGACCAGGTACATTGCATAACGTGTTTAAAGGAACTTTTTTTTCTTAGAAAAAGGTCTCAATTGTGAGCTTAAAATATTTAATAAATGCCGGGTGTAGTGGTTCACACCTATAATCCCAGCATTTTGGGAGGTGGAGATAAGAGGATTGCCTGAACCCACCAGCAGAGATCAACCTGGGCAACATGGTGAGGCCTCGTTTCTACAATAAACCAAGAAATTAGGGAGGCATGGTGGCACAGGCCTATAGTTCCAGCTACTTGGAAGGCTGAGGTAGAAGGATTGCTTGAGCCCAGAAGGTCAAGGATGTGATGGCCGTGAGCATGCCACTGCACTCCAGTCTGGGCAACACAGTGAGACTGTGAAAAAAAAAAAAATTAGTAAACTGTGATGTAAACAGATTTGGTGTCATAAGTCTTTGCTGTTTCAATTAAAGAGCACAGAAAGAGTAGATTTAGCATAATTCTTAATGGTCGTAGGATTTTTGCCATGGTAAACAAACACTGGCTTCAACTTAAAGTCACTGGTTGCATCATTCTCTAACAAGAAAGTCAGCTTGTTCTTTGAAGCTTGGAAGCCAGCCACTGACTTCTCTCTAGCTAGGAAAGTCCTAGGTGGCACCTTTGTCGAATAGAAGGCTGTTTCATCTATGTTGAAATTCTGTTGGTTAGTGAACCTCTGTAGCAGTTTACCCATAGCAGAACTTCTTTCAAAATTCATCAATGATCTTAGCTAGATCTTCTGGATAACTTGCTACAGCTTCTAGATCTGTACGTGCTGCTTCACTTTCGCTTTCAGGAAAGATGGTTTCTTTCCTGAAACTTCATGGACCAACCTCTGCTAGCTTCAGCCTTTTCTTCCACAACTTCCTCACCACTTTCTGCTTTCCTAGAATTTCAGAGTTAGAACCTTGCTCTGGACTATGCTTTGGCTTCAGGGAATGTTATAGCTGATATTTTATCTTCTATCCAGACCACTAAAACTTTCTCCATCTTGGCAATAAAGCTGTTCTGCTTTCTTATCATGCATGTGTTCACTGAAGTAGGACTTTTTAATTTTCTTCAAAAACTTGTCCTTTGCATTTAAACTTGGCTATTTAGCACAAGAAATTTAGCTTTCAGCCTATCTTGGCTTTTGATATGTCTTCCTCAATCAGTAAGTTAATCACTTCTAGCTTTTGACTTAAAGTGAGAGATGTGGAACTCTTTCCTCCACCTGAACAGTCAGAGGCCACTGTAGATTTATTAGTTGGCCTAATTTCAATATTTTTGTGTCTCTGGAAATAGGAAGACCCAACGAGACAGGGCAACAGCCAGTTGGGAGAGCAGTCAGAAAATACACATTTATTAAGTTCCCTGACTGACATGGGCATGGCTTGTGATATCCTAAAAGATCACTGAACACAGATCACCACAATAGGTATAATAATAATTAAAACGTTTTAAATATTGCAATAACTACAAAAATGTGACGCAGAAACATGAAGTGAGTACATGCTGTTGGAAAAATCATGCTGACAAACTTGTTTACCACGGGGTGGCCATAAACTTTCTCTTTTTTAAAAAATTTATTTATTTATTTATTTATTTTTGAGTTGGAGTCTCACTCTGTCGCTTCGGCTGGAGTGCAGAGGCACACTCACAGACACTGCAGCCTCAACCTGCTGGGTTCTGGCGATCCTTCCGCCTCAGCCTTCCAGGTAGCTGGAACTACAGGCGCGCGCTACCACGCCCAGCTAATTTTTTATTTATTGTAGACATGAAGTCTCGCCAAATTACCCAGGCGGGTCTCGAATCTGTGGGCTCAGCAATCCACTCACCTCGGCCTCCCAAAGTGCTGGGATTACAGACTGAGCCACCAAGCCCAGCCTAAATGTATTTATTTATTATAAAGATGTGGGGTACAATTCAAGGATAGATATATAAACATTGATCATGCAGGTACCCTTGTGACAAACTTTCAATATGTAATAAATTCTATCTGCTGAGTACAATAAAGCCAAGCACAATAAAAAAGGTATGCCTGTACTTTATAGTATGATAATAACTAGAGAGTAATTTAGCAACACTATTGTGATAAATTAATACTTTTGTATATTACTAGTCATTATTATGATTAACATGAATTTGTTTGGTAGTTTAATTTATATATAAATTAAGTAAATATAAATTAAACTACCAAGCAAATTCATGTTAAACTATGTAACATATAGTATTTTGTCTTGGTAACATCTGTAATACCAAAGCATATCTGAAGGTACAAACATATACTATAACTGCAAATAAATAAATCCCTGGGGCAGGTTGCTGACCCTGGGTTCTGTAGGCCTTCCCTAAATCAAACTAAAGTTCTAGTCTTCTAGCCTTAGATCTAAGTCAGAAAGTCTGCCACCTGGAAAGAAGGCAAGATTCATAATGTCATTCACACATCTTATTTTTAAAAATCAGAATTTTTAAACAACCTACCTCCCTGTTCTATCTGCAATAGTTGTAATTCCTCTTGCTCTAAAGATGAACACTCCGGGGTGAGCACACAGTTGTCACTGGCTGTGACAGAATTCACCATTTCTATATCAGACCCCTAAGGGAAAAGTGATAATTATTCAGTTATTTGCCTATTAGCATCTCAAAGCTGGATTTGACTACATGTAAACAATTCCATTATTAAAAATCCCAGATGCTGCTATGCTCCAAAGGAACAGTATCTAATCTGACAAGCTTTTGTTCAATTGGTTCCACAAGGGCCTATGGCAGAGAAATGGAAGAAAGGAGTCACAGGTTTAAATTTTTTTTGTAACCATTTTATTTATTATCTTATTATTATTATTTTCGAGTCAGAGTTTCACTCTGTAACCCAGGCTGGAGTGCAGTAGCATGCTCCCAGTCACCACAGCCTCAGCCTGCTAGGCAGGTGATTCTTCCGCCTCAGCCTTCCAAGTAGCTGGAACTACAGGCATGTTCCACCATGCTTGGCTCATATTTCTTGACTTATTGTAGAGATGAGGTCTCGACAAGTTGCCCAGGCTGGTCTTGAACCTGTGGGTTCAGACAATCCTCTCACCTCCACCTCCCAAAGTGCTGGGATTAGAGACGTGCTTTTTTTTTTCCCCCACAGGTTTAAATTTTAAGTCAGGTCAGCCCAAAAGTGGAATGCTCTATTTCATGAGCCCAAGCAATATATCTAAACCCCACAAAATAAGTAGCTAAACTTAGCTATTGTTAGATCTATAATTTGCTTCAACTTAACATTTATGGAACTAATCTAAAAAAGGCACTTTGCTAGGTATTATGGGGTATAAAAAATTCAAATCCAAGGCCAGGTGCAGTGGCTCACACCTATAATCCCAGCACTTTGAGAGGCCGAGGTGAGAGGATTGCCTGAGCCGATAAGTTCAAGACCAGTATGGGCAATTTGGCGAGACCTGATTTCTACAATAAATCACAGGCATGGTGGCATGTGCCTGTAGTATCAGCTACTTAGAAGGCTGAGGTGGAAGGATCACCTGAGCACAGCAGGTCAAGGCTGCGGTAGCCAGGACCATGCTACTGCACTCCAGCCTGGACAACAGAGACTCCAACTCAAAAAAGAAAAAAAATAGAAAAAAATTCAAATTTATAATGTATGCAGAGAAACAGACATATGCAAAAATAACTACTTGTTATGGCATTATAAACTAAGAGCGTTTAAGGGCATGGATTAAATAAACCTATCAGAAGCTGGGCTTGGTGGCTCAGCCTGTAATCCCGCACCTTTGGGAGGCTGAGGTGAGTGGATTGCCCAAACCCGTAGGTTCGAGACCCGCCTGGGCAACTTGGCGAGACCTCATCTCTACAATAAATCAAAAACTTAGCCGGGCATGGTAGCGCGTGGTAGTTCCAGCTACCTGGAAAACTGAGGCAGAAGGATCACCGGAGCCCAGCAGGTTGAGGCTGCAGTGGCCAGGAGTGGCCACTGCACTCCAGTCTGGGCGACAGAGTGAGACTCCAACTCAAAAAAAATAAAAAATAAAAAATAAACCTATTAGAATAATGAAAACTTTCCTCATAAAAATCTTAAAATTTTAATTCTGAGGTTATCTTTCCTACTTTGATGTCAGACTGTCTTTTCTTTAATGAAATAGTGAATCTTACAATTTTTTCCCTCATGTTTTTTTTGTTTTTTTTTTTTTTTTGAGTCGCAGTCTTATTCTGTTGGGTTGGACTGCAGTGGCATACTCACTGTCACTGCAGCCTGGACTTGCTGGGCTCAGGTGATCCTTCCATCTCAGCCTTCCAAGTAGCTGCAACAACAGGCAAGTGCCACCATGCCTGGCTAATTTTTTAGTTTATTATAGAGATGAGGTCTCGCCAAGTTGTCCGTGTTGGTCTCGAACCCCAGGGTTCAAGCTATACTCTCACATTCACCTCCCAAAGTGCAGAAATTACAGGTATTAGCTACCGTGCCCAGCTCCCTCTTATGTTAACTGCCAAAGTTAACCACTAAAATTGATTCTGCTTCTCCTTATGCCCCACCTTCCTTTTATCCTATAAATGGCTGACAAGTGCAATCAAAAGGTCTGAGTTCTCCTGATACACCTAACTCAAAACAGCAAATACTAAGACAAATTCAAGGAGTAGCCTTTAAGATGAGCCCTAAAGAGAATTTTGAATGTAAGACTTTGAGGTTGTCCATAGTGGCAAGAGAATGATAGAGGCTAAGGTAAGGTTAGAGTTGGATTAGGGATTCCTGGGGAAGCCAGTTCTGACTGAATCAGAATAGTAGTAATGAGAAAGAAAAAGGAAATATATATAAGAGACATTAGCAAGAAAAAGTAGAACCTGGAAAATAGATACAGAGGAAGATGGATAAAAGTACAAATATAATTTACTCTGGGACATGATGTATAATAGAGAACATGTTAATGACATACTTGGTTAATTGCCAGAGAGATTTGCTGCCTTGCTTCACCCTGCAGACTCACAAGTAAGACTGCCATAGCTGGCTTGCTCCTATATTGTTAATTATCCTTGAAAGAGAAGTAGTTGTTATGGGAGTTGATCTAACCTTTGATGAAAACAGGTTAAAAATACAAGTGTCACCCGGGCTCGGTGGCTCAGCCTGTAATCCCGCGCTTTGGGAGGCTGAGGTGAGTAGATTGCCTGAGCCTGCAGGTTCAAGACCCGCCTGGGCAACTTGGCGAGACCTCATCTCTACAATAAATCAAAAAATCAGCTGGGCATGGTAGCGTGTGCCAGTAATTCCGGCTACTTGGAAGGCTGAGGTGGAAGGATCGCCGAAGCCCAGCAGGTAGAGGCAGCGGAGGCCGGGAGCGGCCACTGCACTCCAGCCTGGGCGACAGAGTGAGACCCAGCTCAAAAAAAAAAAAAAAAAGATTTGACTATTATATTGTCTAAACCTTAAATTACCAAAGTAATTGAAAAAAAAATTCCATTTAAGGCTGGGCACAGTGGCTCATGCCTGCAATTCCAGCACTTTGGGAGCCTACATGGGAAAACTGCTTGAGCCTAGGAGTTCACAGACCAGCCTAGGCAACATAGCAAAACCTTGTCTCTACCAAAAAAAAAAAATCAAGAAAGTAGGGAGGCATGACAAGGCCACCGCACTCCAGCCTGGGTGACAGAGTGATATCCCAACTCAAAAAAAATTTTTTTTAATTGTATAAATGGGGCTGGGTATGGTGGCTTACACCTGGAATTCCAGCACTTTGGAAAGTGGAGGCAAGAGGACTGCCTGAGTCCACAGGTTCGAAACCAGCCTGGACAACATGACGAGACCTCATCTCTACAATAAAAATTAGCTGGATGTGGTGGTACACGCCTGTAGTTCCAGCTACTTAGAAGACTGAAGTGGAAGGAACCCAGCATGTCAACACAAAGTATGCAAAGTGGCTTACTGCAGTGGCCATGAATGTGCAACCGCACTCCAGCCTGGGTGACAGAGACTCTGACTTAAAAAAAAAAATTTTTTTTTTTTTTTTTTTTTGAGTTAGAGTCTCAC